GCTCATTATTCATTACCTCAGGAAATTAATTTCTGTTTTCTATTGACTTCAATCTAGTTCTGATAGGAATTAATTGAAGATAAATATATTATAATAATTAGAAGATTAATTGGCCCATAAAAATACATTACTTAAATTCAGAAAGCTAGAATTATACAAAAAGTTAATTTTTTAGTTTTAAATCTTCGGATTAAATTTGTCATTTATTTAATTAATTGAAATATTCACTTATTGTTGTGCTCTCTATGTTACAGATCATGAGTACATCAATGTCGTATTTCACCCTACTAAAACAAAGTGCCGAGGACACAGTAAATTCGTAATTCCTCTATTTTCATATATTCACTGCATGCAAATTTAAAAGGAAGTGAGTTGTACGTTCTATGTAATCACTATATATAAAAACCAGATTATCAATAGTAACTAAACTTATTGTGTTTAATACTATCTTCTTATATACCGAAAAACGTAATATTAATTCATAATTCGTAATATTGATTTTTTTGATTCAATAATTTTGAATTGTTATATACAATTCTTACCTATTCTTATTCTTCCATTCGGAGGTAATAAAAAATTTAGGCCATATCAAGCCAGAAGTGTTGCTTTCTGTATATAACCTATGTTTAAGAACGAATGTTATACCCACAACGTGGAAAACAGCGAATTTAATGATAATACCTAAAACACTAGACGGGGATAAGCAACAGCTGAGCGCTTATAGGCCTATCGCGCTTTTGCCGGTTACAAGCAAAATCTTTGAGAGAATTTTGGATGACAGAATTCAGGTTAGTTGCATTGAACAAAATTTAACGAGCGAAGAACAGTATGGTTTTAAAAAAGGTTTTGGCATAGAGGATGTTTTTTTTAAATTTAAGGAGGAAATAGCTGTCACAAATAAAAAGTATGTTCTTGCCCTGTTTGTGGACACACTGGGTGCTTTTGACCACCTTGGTGGCGGCGATTAAAGCGCGGCTGGTTCAATCCAAATGCAGTTCAACTCTAGTTAATATAGTTAGCACTTACTTCAGGAAACGAAAAATAGTAATCAGAACAAAACACGGAAAGATTAGTCATCGGGTGCAAAGAGGGTCCATTCTTGGATCAGCCGCCTGGAACTGGAGCTTGGAGCAATTTCTGGGGCAAATATCTAATATCGTAGAAGCAGATACTGTTCAGGTCTTAGCATATGCTGATGACATTCTCTTTGTCATCAAAGGATATTCCAGAGTAGAGCTTGAGCGGCATGGGAGCATTGTCATGACGACGCTGCAGGATTGGTGCCACGAGAATAAGTTGTCGGACAAAAAGAAGAAAACAGTGGCGGTTTTTGTCAGGGGTAAATTAGACATTAGGAGACCATCATCAATTAAGATCAACCAAAATACGGTTAGACATACACACGAATACAAATATCTTGGCATAACTAAAGACTCAAAATTAAATTTCATATCACATGTAAAAAGATTGCGCGAAAAATTTAGCATAAGTTAAATAACATCAATGGAAGTAGGGGGTCCGCCTCCATGTGGAAGGCACGTTAACGTCGGGTGCAAACACCATGGCGAAGTGACCCAATGTATATTTTTAACATGAGTAATAACATAACGACGAATGTTTCTCTACTAATATGTAAATAAGAATTGGATTGCTATCCAACAAAAATTGAAACATGCAAATTCACCTCACATATATCAACAAGGCCATTCACAGATTTTACACAATCCCACAGTAACAATCCAATCATCCTCAAGTGAAACATTCTCCCTCCATAAAGTATCAAAAAATACCCCACTTCGTTTTACAGTCCAATCTTTCAATTTCTCACTGTGTTACGTTCAAATGTCGACCACGTATTAACCTCGCGGAGGGTCCCACAATTCTTTTCCCTGAATCATGCATACCCCATCGATCACGTAAATGACCTGCATTATGAACATCGGCAATTGCACGGTCGCTTATCCATTGTAATAACTTTTTCTCCGGCACATGTGTACGTACAAGTATCACTAACGATAAGTATAATATATAGAACGGAGAAATAAAGGATGAGGCGGAAGATCAAAGGCATGCTACGACGTTCGATCGTTTCTCGGATTGATAGGTTCTACAATACCTTTTGTGAAATTACAAATTGTCTCGTCATATCGTTTTGCATGTTTTACTATGAGCTTGAAATATCGTCAAGACGTTTCCATTAAATTAGCCAACTTTTTTCTGTATGTCGTCGGCTTCTGGTTCGCCGCTAATCGTATAGAGGAATGGTTCAGAAACGCGGCGATTCTGTATACCATTGTCACGGTCTTCTTTGTCATGTGGCTTCAGCTGAGAGGGCTTTATTACGCCTGGGGAAACCTTGAAGTAAGTGGATTGTTGTTGATGTTTCGTCGAGCGTACATTTGTTAAGATTGGATAATAATGAGTTAGGTTTAAGGTTGATATTTTTGGATGAACAGTTTTTATACACAGTATTTTTTTTTAGAACTTTGTTTCGGTAGTTTTTGATTACTGTTTTGTTGAAATGAGCTGGAATTCTTCGTGAGTGTTGTTATTAAAGTGTGAATGTTAATTAAAGTATGTCCAAATATGCAAATGGAATGTGAGAATATTTGATAAACATTTTTTGAGCGTGGTGCTTTATTTTTACAATAGTGCTTTGTTAGTTTCTGTTTATTATACTGTGTTGAAGTAAGTGGTAATTCTTGGTAAGCAATGTTAGTAGAGTGTGAATGAAAATATGTGAAATATGAAAATGTAATTTGTGAACATATGCAAGAAATATGTGGATATGTAATAAGTATATTGAAAACTTGAATATTGAAAATATGCCATAATAATGGTACCTTTATTATTTAGACATCGCGATTATAATTTAAATTACAGTAAAATATATGCATTTTTTTCTATATTAGCTGTAAAATTAAAATTAATTGATAGACGGAAAATGTATGATATATGTTATAATACTATGATAAACTTTTGCATATGTTCTTAAAAAACAAATTATACGTCTAATTTCTATTTCTACAGGTTTGCATGTACATGGCAGGCAACGGTTTAGCCATGGTTTTGGATATAATCAAGATTTTCTCCCTAGTCGTACACAAGAAAAAGTTTCTCGGTCTGATTGAGTACATGCAGAAGAATTTCTTGCATTTGAACTACGATCAGTACGAGAATTCTGTTATCGCACAGGCGAAACGAATGTGCATTTACTTCGTGTGCGTTTTGTCATTTTTTTCTCAATCTTCAGTTCTTTCCTATATAGTAAGGCCACTTGTATGTAAGTCTCAAGTGAAATAGTAATATTTAACGACAATCTTTGTATTGCTTTTCTAACATTTTGTTAAACATTCTCGAAGTCTTCTGTAGTTGTTAATTAACGATACAAAAAATCATGCTTAATTGAAAAAGATTTAAATAGCAGTAATTTAATGGGAATTTTATTTCAGCAAATCTTGGAAAGAATGAATCTGATAGAGAACATATATACGATATGTGGCTCGATCTACCATTATCCATAACACCATATTATGAAATTACTTACATAATACAGGTATTACCAATTTTCTCAAGGCAAACTATATTTATATATTAACATTATTATAGACAGAAAAATTTTTAATGCGAATAATAAGAAAGAAGTAAGAACAGTGTAATTTACAGTTGCAAGATAATTTAGCAATATTTTTAAAAATAATTTAAAATAACTTAAAAAGCAAAACTAATTAATTAGTAACCAAATCTAATGACTAAATTCTAAAGATAGGTATACAGTTCTCGTGAAACCTGAAAATATTTATAAATTTCAAATTTAGAAATCACAAATGATTCCAGGTAATAAAAACATTTCTCTCACGCAGGCTTTATCTGTGTACCAAGTTAGCGCGTGTTACCTTTGCTTTGATATCATTTTTTTCATTTTGTGTCTACACGTGGCTGGTCAGTTTCGTATACTACAATACAGAATTGCCAATGTGTCAGGTCTAAGCGAGATAGTGAAAAGCAGTGAAAATCCAAGCACAGATGAATTATACTCAGAGAAATGTTACATCAAGTTTAAGAATTGCATTCAACAGCATCAGGCACTAATTGAATTTTGTGCAACACTCGAAGAGGTATTCACGGTAATTGCACTCGGACAAGTCCTAATGTTTAGCATACTAATTTGCTTCGTCGTGTATCAAGCACTCCTGGTGAGTATCGTTCGCTATAATAAATACTCTATGATAGAAGAAAATTTTCATTTCGGAAGAAAAATTCATGTTTCTGTCAATTTAAAGATTCATATTATTGTGAATTTAAATATTAATTTTTCTGTCAATTTAGATATTAATTTTATTGTGAATTTAAATATTAATTTTTGTGTCAAATTTAATAGTAGCTTTTCTGTAAATTTAAGTACTAATTTTTCTGTCAATTTAAATATTAACTTTTCGAATAAAACACATATAAATTAAGGAGTTTAAGGAATTACAAACGTAGAATTTTTATTACCTGTGGAATTAAATGTTCGCAACGATGACGGGCGTGAGTCAACTATGGATGTTCACGTACAGTTGCGATTGCATAACAACAGAAAGCCTGAACATCGCTGAATCTGTATACGCTGGACCATGGATAAATTTACCAATGGATAAATTTGGAAAACTGCTAAGAAAAGATCTACAAGTGCTCATCTTGAGGGCGAGACGACCTTCCTCTTTGACTGCCTGTGGATTCTTTTCTATATCTCTCGAAACCTTTACTAAGGTATTTAAATACTAAAGTAATTGAAATTAAATAGTTTTAAATTTCTGCAAACTTACAAATTTTCAAACACTTTCCTTATTAATAAAAGTTTCTAAATTACTGAAGCTTCAAAAATTTTTAAATACCAAGGTTCCTTATTAATAAAAATTTTTGCTCATTATTCATAATCTCAAGAAATTAACTTCTGTTTTTGATTGACTTCAATCTATTTTTGATAGGGATTAATTGAAGATTAGTATAGTATAATAATTAGAAGATTAATTGGCTCATAAAAATTCATTATTTAAATTCAGAATGTTAGAATTATACAAAAAGTTAATTTTTTAGTTTGAAATCTTCGGATTAAATTTGCCATTTATTTAATTAATTGAAATATTTTCTTATTGTTGTGCTCTCTATGTTACAGATCATGAGTACATCAATGTCGTATTTCACATTATTAAAACAAAGTATCGACGACACGGTATATTCGTAATTCCTCTATTTTCATATGTACACTGCATGCAAATTTAAAAGGTAGTGTGTTGTACGTTGTATCTAAACATTATATAAAAAGAACAGATTTTCAATAGTAAATAATATTATTGAGGTTTAATACTGTATTCTTATCTACCTAAAAAAGTAGTATTAATTCATAATTCGTAATATTGATTTTTTTGTTTCAATAATTTTTATTTGTCATATACAATTCTTAATCGCAATTATACTTATTTAATATTAAATGCTTCAGAGTGTTCATCTACTTCATATCAGACGAACCATTAATATTAACATCGCACTAGAATCACAATTAAAATTTTTCACTTTTGTAATAAACTTTATTATAAAGATAAATTTGTCAAAGGTGTAGATTTTCATTTTTCACGTAATATCGATGTCAGCTCATGTCGTGTGCCGTTTCTATAATATTTTAACCGTAACATGCAGGAAATTACGCTGAATCGTTACACGAATTTCGTATGAAATAGTTCGCAAGCCTATTTTCATCGTTCGAACTTAAAGCGACTGTGTTTAACATAATCACAGTATAATTATAGAGCACAAAAATTTTAAATAACCGAAGGATATAATTATTTCGAACAATATATATTTTAAAAAATTCTTCAAAATCCATATAATGATCGTAGAAATAAGAATTGCAAGGTTTTACAGGAAAATTGTCTGATTTATGTACATTTATCACTTACAACAAGTAGTTCGATCATTTATTACAGTCGTATGATTATTCAGTTGTTATCAACGCAAGACAAAATAAGAATCTTTCGAAGATTAATCGACTTATGGTAAGCTGAACGCTGGAAACGTTGATAAGATATCATGAAAGAAGAAACATGGTTGTATAGGAAAATCCCGTTTTATCAGCACTCTCATGCGAGCTTTTACTAGAGGAAATAATATTTCCATCAGTCGATATACAAGTTACCCCATGATTCACTGTAGATTAAACAAAATTTTCTTAATTTTTTACTTATTATCAAAACAGAATTTGGAATTTTATTATTGCAATTTTCCAATTTTTATCACTTGCATGATCTCCCATAATTCCTCGTTTATTGGTAATTTTAAATATACGCGTATATTGATTTTATCAAACAAACCGGTACAGTGTCTTTTTATTTTCTAGTGAAAATCATGAAATATCTCCAATTTTCCAATGTTTTACCATTTGCATGAATTCCAATAATTCATAATTACTTGCTAGTCTTTCCTACAATTAAACAAACCAAAATACCTCAAAACAGCAAAGAAAAATCATAACACTCTAAGTTCCACATAAAACAATTTATCATAGAATAAATAATTATTCCTTGTAACAATATTCTTCAAACTATTTAATAAGACACTTTATTAACTCGTGTACAAGATCTTTCCAAATTAAATTACCTTTTATTACATATTGTCATATCTATGAAATACTCAATACTAAATGCATTATTATAATTTCACAATAATCTATTACAATATATTGTAATTCGAAAATAAGGTATACACAAAGAATTTTTGCAATAATTTTAAAATAAGGTATACACAAAAATTTTTGCAGTAATCTAATGTAATATGAAAATTAACAAATATCAGCCACATATTGCTTCGCATATTCACAATTAATCATTCAAAATTCCAATTACCAACGCAATGACATCAACACAAATTACTCCTTGTTCTTATCTTCCACGAATTTCTTCAGCATCTGCAGACATTCTACATTAGCCTTCCGGTATCCAGGTGCGCATGACTTTATTCTATCCATCCACTTAGCCACGTTCGCGTAATTCTCCACTTCAAAACCGAACATCTACAATCATCAACTCCGATCAACCTGCTAATTAACTCTCAATTTTTCCGAATCGTTCACCTCTGACGTGGACACAGTTGCCACCAAGGCGAGATCAGCGATGGTCAAATTGCGTCCAGCAGCGTAATCCTGTCCATCGAGAAACTTGTCCAGCACTTCAAACGCACCTTGAAGAGATTTGTAACGCTCCTCGTTGTATTCTGTCGCATTTCCAAACACCACTGGGTACTGCAACACATTTTCTTTTTTCCAGAAAGGATTTCAGAAGACTGTTTTTGTGAATGATCAAAATGTTGCGAAAGAACGACGCGGAGATCGAGAAAGAAAATTACCGAGCTCGAAACTCGAAGGATCTTGAGGTAACAAGGTTTCAAGATCGCAAGAGAAGGTTATATGCATAATTTACAGGTGTGAAATTCGAAAGCTCTCACGTGCTTACCGGGAACACCTCTCTTTTTCTGGGTAAGCCGCATTTTTCCAGATAAGCCATTTTTTTCACGTCTTTCAATATTTACTTTAAATATAAATCTGAGTTACTTTAAAGTCGATGTATGCAGCTTTTGGAAGAAGGACAGAGTGCAAGGTGTACTACAAGTTACTGTTTCAAAAAGGTGACTATAAAATTTTTGGATCTGCATAACGATTCTAAATTTTTAATTTCGAAACACTCAAGAATCACAAAAAGCTCGATATTCGTGGTATAGTCACTTTATTCTGAAAAGAACTGAAGTGCAAAATTTTGGATCCGCGCAACGATTCTAAATTTTTAATTTCGAAATACTCAAGAATCACAGAAAGCTCGATATTCACGGTATCGCCACTTTTATTTTGGAAAAAGACTACAGTGCAAGCTGTATTCATAAATTAAAAAATGTAATAAATTTTCAAAAAATTGAAATTAAAATTTTTTTAAATTAACAAACTTCACCATATATTTTTAACACGTAAATTACTATCGCCAAAAAGTAACAGCAATAATTCTAAACATTCAATATCCAATTGCTCGAAATTACCAAAAAGTTTCACATTTACAGTAAAACTCCTGCTCACCCAAAAATTTCTCATTATTCTCTGGCTGGCCGTCGAAAAAAAAAAGAAAAACGAGACACAAAAGAAGCTTCTTGAAATTTGAATACGTACGTAATAATCTTTCATGCCTCTATACAGTGTGCCAATATCAAAATGCAACCGCTGATTGACCAAGGCTCGACCAATCGGTGTTTGCGGATTTAGCCGAACATTTTTGCCATATTGATCGGCCAAGTAGGACATGATGGCTCGGCTGCGATCGTTCGTCGAATCCCGGAGTCCATGAAAACGACGACAAGAAGCGGCGTAAGTTCGTATGATTTTTGAACACGGTGTGTACAGCAAATGTTTAAATGGCGTGCAATGCATGCGCGTTAATTACGTACCTCTCTGTCAGCCTGTAATCGCCATCTAAAAGAAACGGCACGGTTTTCTGCGGATTCAGCTGCAACGAAAGTGTGCTCGCTGAACGTTAACGCTCGCGTTTCATTATCGTATTAATTAGATTGCGCATGCTTATGCAATTGCAACGAATAAAATATGCAAAATTCGCGAGAGTAATATTGGAATTTTTTGGGACACGTGAACAATACTAATTTATATAATCACCGATTTTTGGTGGAACTTTGGTGTATTGTAGCGTTGCGAAAAATATTTGACACGTGTTCTTTTTTATTGGAAATTGTCCACATTTGGGGGATGAAAATCGCCTTCATATTTGAAAATAATAAACAAATTTGGTGAAAATTATTTTTTACTTTGCAAATTTGTCACTGAAAAATAGAAAATTCGTCGATTTACACTATTCCTCTATCTCCAACTGTTTTCGAGCTATTAGAATAAACAAATTTAGTGAAAATTATTGATTAACTTTTATTTTCCAAATTTATCGTTGAAAAATACAAAATTATTATTCCATTTCTAATAGTTTTCGAGATATTAGAATGAATGTATCTACTATTTCAAAACTTCCACAGCGATTTTCACCATCTCAATATGGACCATTTCCACTAAAAAGGACATACGTATCGAATATTTTTTCCAGAACTACTGTACACCAAAGTTTCACGAAAATCGGCGATCATCACTGGAAGATGTTCCCTTGTCGCTGAAATTTGCAAAGTTGCCCTCACATATTTTGCATACTTCAACATATTATATATAAGTGCATAAATATCCGCAGTCTAGATATAATTATATCGTTAAAATTTCATTTCGCGCCGCACCGAACGAGAATCAATTCTACAAAACGAATGACAAGGATTAAATAAAGCCGAATAAATGCGGTCTACGATCTGATTAATTATCGAGCTCTTAATTACTTTCAGGCATTTATACGTAATACTGTGTCTCCAAGAAATCGTCTGCCTGATGGAGCATTATTAATTTTCGATAACGGTTTATACTTGTTCCAACTATTTAAGGTATTTGTATTTATAAAAAGAATGTAAAATAATCCACGTAAAATTGTTAATTTCGAACAACGTTTCAACATATTCAATATTTTCTCAAGCTTTACTATATACGTATATACACTACCCGCCGAAATTTTCGAATCACCTGCCAATTTACGTTAATATCGAATCTGCTACTAATTCTTTATTGATTTGAAATTGATATTGTGGAGATCAATAGCACTTCTCAAATTCGTTGGAAAATGATTATAAATGCTAACATTTTTGGGGAATTTTTGTGCAACTTGCAATGCACAGTGATTCCAAACATTTGGCCGGTAGTGTACTTTTTGTGCGTTAATGATATTTAATAATGTGCAAATCTTCATTAGATATAACTGGAATATCTAATTTATATTAAAATACACTTTTAACAGTAAATAATGTATGTTTATACATTTTTGTGTGTTAATGGTATTTAATAATGTGCAATAATGAATTTTGCGAGACGAGGGAAATTTGAGATATTCTCGTCGACGCTCTAACCTGTTCGTATTCTGGCTTCAGGTGTTCACCGGAAAATAAATCGATTTCTTTCAAGTTTAAGGAAAGACCAATGGCCTCCGCAGTCAATAGAACAGCTCTGCAAGGCGAACTTAAAGGTGTGTAATACAGATCTACCGTCATCACTCTGTCAATTAAAAGGCGTAAGTTCAAACACCGATCGATTACTTTAATTAATCTACAGGATTATTGTGTAATCAAAATTGTGATACAATTAAGAGAATAGTGCTTCCTTGTGAAAAATAAATTGAAGAGTAAAATAATAAAGGTAAAGTAATACAAAATCATTCTTTTTACAATTTTACAATTTTACAATAATACAATTAAGAGAAAGGTGTTTTATGAAAAATAAATTAAAGGGCAAAATAGTAAAGGTAAAGTAATATAAAATCGTTTCCTTTTACAATTTTTCTGTATGAAAATCTTGTGGAAATAATTCTAATTAGAAAAGAGTCAATTTCACAAAATTACGAGCTATTACATTCATAAATTACCAAAGTACACCATTAATTACATCGATATTAATATTTATGACTAATTATACCACCAACTTTTCCAATATTTCGCACAAACACCGAAAAATAAAATAATAACAAAAAAGTGACGTAGTGAAGTAGTATAAAATAATTTATTTGTAATTTATTCGATATGAAAATTTTTCAGGAATAATTCTTTCACGAAAAAATTACTGCATTCATAAATCACCGAAGTTTACCGTTAATTATGTCGGTATTAATATTTATGGCTAATTATTTTACTAACTCGTTCGATATTTTCAACAAGGCGGGAAGAATTTAAAGTAGATCTAATTTTCATCTACCAAAAATTGGGCTCCTCTTATCGTCTATTTTTCACAAACGAGAAACAACCCTGAAAACTTTCGCGATAGCCGGCGAAAAGTGTTGAAATATTCCATTACACATCCGTTGCGTTCGAGCCGGTTCCGTTTCTCAACGATTTTCAATGGAATCAATATCGCTGACCGAATCAATATCCACACGCTAGAGCCACAGAACCATTTCTGTGTACTTTGCTTCGTATTTATTGCGCATTGCGCTATATTCTTTCCGTCGGTTGTTCAACAACGCCAAGAGTTGTCGCGTTACGCGAGTTCGCGTTGTTTTTCGTCTGTGAATATTCAATTCTCGCCGAAGTCGAGAATCTCCGAAGGAACGGGGAGCAGAAAAGGGAGAAAGAGAGAAACGGTGAAGAAAGGAGGAAAAATTGAACGAAAGGGCGGTCTAATTTGAGCTCGTTCGGAAAAGATGGTATTTATTGGGTCGGTGTTTGAAGAATTTTTAATAGTATGTTAAATAAATGGTCGGTATTTGAAATAAAATATCAGAAAGTAACGTGAGTGGTCAGTATTGTATGTGATATATTGATTAATACAGAAACTGTGGGTATTTTCAATATTTCCAATTTTTCAATATTTCCAATTTTCAATATTATCAATATATTCAGTTTTCGATATTTTCCATTTTCGATATTTTGAAATTTCAATATTTCCCATTTTCAGTATCTTTAATTTCCAATATTTCCAATTTTCAATATTTTCAGTTCACAATACTTTCAATATTTTCAATTTAGAATATTTTCAGTTTTCCGTATTATGATCTTTTAATTTTCAATATTATCAATTTTCAAATTGTATCAATTCTCGAATATCATTACCATTAATTATTACTAAACGTAATAATTTATCAGTATTTTAAACAGATGCTCGATACATTCAATAAATCATCCTGACCAAAAATTTAATCTTCACCGACCAAAAGCCAAATTAATACCAATGAAAGAAACAAACCTGCACCGAAAAAGTTCTTCTCAATACTGACAACAGTTACGACATCTCCACCGACTATTATTCATTTAAAAAAATACTTACCATTGATTAAAAAAAAAAAAAATGCCCACCGAATAAATAGAAGTGGTTTGTAACCCGAAATTCGTTCGCGAAATCGAACACTCACGCGCGCGCGTCAAGTATGAGTTTCATCCCTTGTGCAATCGCAACCTTACATATTCCCACAATTTTGTTTTCAATCGAACATAATCGATAGAGCACTATTTTTCACGCGGCGAAATTGCACGTACGTGGCCCGACTAAAACGCACACCCTACCTGTGTATGCCTATACGTGTGTCTGCCATTAACGAGCAATCGATACACGCCGAAAGCGAAACGGAAAAGAGAAGAAAGCGATTGAGTAACATCGAGAACACGATCAAACCGATAAGTTGAAAATCTTGTTTCCCACCTGCTCTACCCTAAAGCTTCTTAATTTAGACGTTACTCTTGCTAGAAAAACTCTGATAGAACCTTGTCGGTTCCTTTATACAAGCCGCACGATGCAGTGTAAACGATCGCGAGCACGCGAAACGATGATTGCCAATTTTGCGTAATAATAAGTTTCGAAGGATGAATTATAGGTTGGTAGTTAATCGTTATTACTGGGATTACTTACAATTAGTTTTTACCTCTTGGGAGAAGCGAGTCGATGCTGTTTCCTACGTATGGAGGAACTGAGTGAAGGTTTTGGCGCTGATACGATCGATGTGGGGTGATGTACAATATGTACGGACAAGGTTGGCGAATCGCTCAGCTATGACATGTGCTCATTTTTTTGCTCGTCATTTTTGAGGGATATTGCTGGTGTGAAATGGTGCGGTGTTTTGAATTTGGTGTTGCTATGGTGAAAATGGTACATTTTGAGGAGTTTATTATGAGCTGTTTTTAAAGGGAGAAAAGTTTCTTTTTTAGCGAAGATTGGAATTTCTGTGCCAATATGGAATGTCTGATTTTAATTGAAAAGTAACATCTACCGAATATTGAATAAAATATTTTTCCACATTATTTCATTTTGTCTAATTCTACTGTCGTCTGGTTTAATAATTCTGGAAGTGGAAATCGTTCTTCTCCTCAAAAAAAGAAAATCTTAAGAAACACTGGAAATCAATTTTCGTCATTTCAGTGAAATCTTAGATTTTTATAGAAATTTCCATTTATGGTGTAGATTCTTTTTCTTAATTTTTGTGATTGAATATAGAAAATTTTACAAATGTACCGAGTATTTTCTAGTTCTCTGTTTTCTATTATACACATCTTTTCCTTCAATACGCATAAATTTCAACGATCGAGAAATTCGGAAATTGCGAATGGTGAAAAAATCGTTCATCCCTTGTATCGTCGATATTTTACGCGCTCGCATTTCTTCTCTACCGTTTGCTGCAACAAGGTTTAAAATTACGTCGTAAAAAGCCAGACCTTTTTCGTCGTGTTACGGTGAAAAGAGAAAAGGGAAGTATCGATTAAAGAACGATATTGGCCATTGCACAGTAATTAAAACGTACGTGAAACCGAGGTTGAGGATAATTAGCAAATGAGCATCGAATCAAAAGGACGGCCTCCGCTGAAGTAAATTGGCCGCACTGCGAACAACAAGCGGCTACCATAATTACAAGGTTCATTAATTCGTATTCGATGCCGATTGCACTATTTACCGAATCACACGTGGCAATGTTAATTGCAATTTAAATGGCTTCCGAGCCCTTTTTTCTCGAGCTTCGTATTCACCACGACAATTGCATCGAAGTAGTTTACATTTTAACAGTTTACAATTGTCCAAGGTTTTTACACCTTTCGTTGATATCGTTTGAAAAGAATGTTGGAGAAATGTGCGAGCACTTAAATTTTCTTTCAGAAAATTTTTAGGAAACTGTGTTAATTAAATGATAACGAAAAAGGTAGAATGTTAATGAATGAACTGGGTGGTTTAATTATGGAAAATTGACGTTAGAGAATGTAAGGGAATATTTTTATCGATTTTGTCGAGAGAATATAAGTCATTCTATGTTGAAACGCACAGTTTCTGTAATTATTAGGATATCACGGCTTTTTTTAAACGTAGCATAGTTATCGACAGGCGTGAAAAATTTCTGTAAAATTTCAGTCTTCTTTGTTGAGTAGTGTGATAGATATTAAATAAAATAGTTTGCTAGATGTTACACTGTTAAAAAATTAGGTAAAATATCTTCTTTAAGAGAAGATAACTTGGATCATTTTAAACGAAAAATTGGAGAATTTGAGAAATCGAGCAAGTGATTCAATATCCAAAGTTAAGGAATAGGAAATGAGAAATCAAAGTAACAATATAATTTTCAAAATCTATAAAATATTTCCTCCCAATTTTTAAGATTTAATAATAACAACAAATAAATTTCATAAATTTCAGGATTAGATGATGCTGAATGCAATTCTCAAAATCTATAAAATTCTTCCACAAAATTTTTTAGATGCGAAGATTTTAAGATTCCAAGATTAAGACTTAATATTTAAAATAAGAATTTTCAAGACAAATACGTTCAATGAATTTCAAGTTTCGAAGATCCTATGCTGAATGCAATCCTCAAAATTTATAAAATTTTCCCCTTCGGTTTTGTCGTGTACTCGCGTCGGTTTGAGTTATGTTTCAAACTTGGATCACGAGAGAAAAATCGGACTGTTTTCTAACGAGGTCTGAAGCGATCCCGGAATACCCTTTCTCCAACGTTATAATATAAACGACTTGATTATGCGTTCAGCACTCGGACTGATTCAATACTTGGTTGTTTAACGTTCAGAATGATACTGATTCGAAATTCAGAGGAAGTCACGCATCTCAGCTACTGAGGGCGGAGTTTAATTTTAGAAGTGAAAAATGGGAGAAATAAGAACATTAAGTATTGGTCGTAGGGTGTGGTGGTGGGAAGTGGTGGTAGAAGGTGGTGGTAGAAGGATGAGGTGTCGGGGTCTTGGGGAATTCCGAAAAAAGGAGATAGGACATGAGAGAAGGAAGACACTAGTTCAGTAATTGGAAAATCGGGACAATGGTTAATAAACTGAGTTCTGGTGGTGAAATTACCGAGGGTACGCGCTTAATAACGGCCCCGGCTAATCCTATGGGTCGCGGATTCTTCAGGCCCGTCTTACAATTTCCTTAAGCTATAAAAATAAAAGGAGAAAGGCTCGATGCGAAAATAGACAAAAAAATGTTCGGTACGGAACAGGTTTTTAAGATCTGAGATAATAAGATTCACGATTTAAGATAAGAATTTTTAAGAGAAATTTCAGGTTTCGAAGATTCTATGCCGAACGAAATTCTCAAAATCCACAAAATTTTTCCATCAAACCAAGTTATAACAACAACGAATAAATTCAATAAATTCCAGGCCTGGATAATTCTGTTAGAGCGTCGCGGTCATAATGTTTGCACGCACAATGAGTAATAGAGCAGCCGTTGAAGAAACGTGCACACGGAATGAATAAATGCACGCCAGCCAGCCACCTCTATATTCCTCGCTGTATTTAAACTTCCAAGCCAGGTCGCTCGCTTTCATTCCACGCTTACGCGATTGTGTATCACATTAATAATTGTCGAGCACGTATACGTGTGAGGCCGTTGCTCTCTCTCATTCTTATTCCCACACACACGCACACTCTCTCTCTCTCTTCGTCTACCTTGTAGTTATCATTTATCATATAAGACGATGAAAAGCTTTCTCAGTTACGAGAAAGATTTATCGAGTCTCAGTTGGTCGCGCAACACTGTCAGAAGGAATCTGATTGTTATTTATTCACCGTTTCTACCAATGCTAGAAACGATTTCGTGCAACAGAGAAGTCGGTGTGGTTCATTTAGAATGTATACTACTCGCGATATCGTACACGTCACACTTTTCCTGTCGATGCTACAGGAAAATCGTTTCGAAGAAATTGTCTATTTATCGAGGTTTCGAGATTGTGGAAATTTATCTCGTTTTATTAAATCTACTTACCTTCCTTTTATTTGTTTTCCTTTTATAGTGTCGATCGTTGGATAACTGTGGAGCGAAAATTGTACGGCTACTAATTTAACATGATCACTTGGTTGCATAAGTTAAATTGTCATTTTATGAGAAATTGATAATAATACTTTACCCTTATTTAACGAAAATTCGTATAAATATTTAAAAATAGGGCACGTTTGAAATTTTCTGTAAAGATTTGGTGAGAAGATTGACTTCTCGTTATGCAAGATCTCTGTTTACTATTATGTCACACTTCTCATTTCAAAACAACGAAGATATTAAGAAACAAATTTGCTTCGATGGGTCCTTTGGTTTCTTTTTAATTTTCCAGAAAGTTGCTTTTATTCAATAAAAATTCGTATAAATATTCAAAAATAGAGCACTTTTCAAATTTACTGTAAATTTCATTTGATAAGAAGATTGACTTCTCATTACGTACAATCTCTGTTTACTATTATGTCACACTTTTCATTTCAAAACAACGAAGATGTCCACATTCGATGCATTCTTCTGATATTTTTAACGTTCCACAAACTTTCAACGCCAAGCTAAGAAAATCAAACTGATTAAACTGTACGTTAAAACAAAATTTCGTTCAAATTGAAACAGGACTGGAATGAAAAACAAGAAAGATCCATTTATTCTTACAAAATTATATTTCACGTAAAGTAAGATTAAATATAAACGGAATTAACAGCACGATTCTGTCGTAATCTCCGAATAATCGAACGTATCGTCTCATTTCTTCATCATCTCGTCGATGAAGGCTTTGAACGCTTCCACGCCGGCTTTGTTTATCTGGTCGTACTTCGGCGCTTCTGACTTGATCTTCGCGTACCACCTGGCGATGTTCTTGTGCGCTTTGATATCATGGCCCACGACCTGTTGCAAAAATGATACATCGAAGAAACGTGGCGCAACGCGAAAGAGTTATTAAGCTGTGTTGCCTCTCGAGAACTATTTATCGCCGGTTTCCTCTCTTTTTCCGTTCAGTTTCGACGTCGATCTTCATCGTTACAGATATCTCCTCTTATTTATGTACTTATTATCTCGGATTATTCGAATTTTTCCCTCGCATCGCCACGATTTATCGCGCGTTCGTGCGTCCTCGAAGGCGAAATGCGAGGATTAATAGAAAAACGTTGCGAAACAGCGCGATTACATTTTGCCAAGTGTGATGCTATGCAATGTGCAACATTGTGTAAATTCATGTTTGCAATTTTACTTTCGCTCTCTTATATTTCGTAATATTTAAGAATGAAGCAGCGAAAGTTTTATCGTTTCGATTGTGAATTCTCCGGAATGCAAAAATATATTGTTTTCTTTAGTGGTTTATGATTTTTCGTTCATCTGTTATTGTAAAATTGTAATTCAGTAAATTTTGTAAGATTGGTAGATATTTGAGAACGAAAATAATTGTGACCTATTTTTACGAAAAAATTGAACTGCATTAGCTTTAATTATACACAAGTATTGTTTCTTTTCAAACACTTTGTAACTTCTATTTACGGATCGACTTATTGCATTCCATCAAACCACGGTAAAAGACCATAAATTTCAAGCTAGAAGAGGCCGAAGACTGCTTCACAAAGCAAACAGTGAACTCGAATCTTATCAAAAGTCGTAAATTACGAGTGGGATTCAGAACTAATTGTTACCACTTCACTGATTAATGATTCTTTATGCGTGCATACGTACTTACAGTGCTCCTCTACCCTCGCTATACTCTTCAGTTGACGATAAAAGTCAAGTATCCGTTTCTTACGTTCTATAAATCTAGGAAAAATTCGAACCGCCGTATCTCTGTTTCTAATTGAGACAGCGACAAAAACCGAAAGGTATTTTACTCGTTATTCGAAGATAAGTCCGGTGTACCCTTGAAATTACTCCCAAGGCGAACTATATTTTCTGAAAAATTCGACATTTCTCGCTCCACTGCAGAAAACATAGTTCGACTTATATCCACCCCTGTTCATCTTACTGTTACACCCTCAAATATTTTCATTCTTAGTCCTTAGTTTTATCTGTATTTTCAACTAGTCACCCACGTTCACCATTACCCATACCGGACTCTTCACCTTCCAACTCTCCTGCATAGTCACAACCCAAAGTCCATCTTTCCAGAACCCTTAAATAGCCCGTTTGGCTATTAAACGTAAATTAAATGGCTCCGTTTTACCATGCGCACGTCACGTAACGTCAAAATCTCTGTGAAATAAAGTTCTGTTTCTACGTAACGACGATTGATCCGTCGCGCAGATACGAAACGCGTGGGGTCTTCGTTGACCGGGTTTATGGCACGCTCGCACGAGAAGGTTATTTTTGAGAACAAAGACGCTTCGTAGCTCCGCGAAGAAATAAGTAATTTCTTACAGAACAATGCCTTTAGAATTTCGACTTTCCGCGTCCTCGATAACCGAAGACGTGTCATAAACCAGGTATTACTGAAGGGTCAATCCACACGCGCGTATAACGGCACTCTCGGCCGAGGGTTGACCTGGCGGGAATTTCCGACGCGTCACCGAAGGACAGCGAAGATTCCACGCACCCACTCCTTCCAAGGAAAAGCGCGCCAAGGGCGCAATGGAAGGGTGAGTGCCACTCAAGGGGCACGTTGATTGGTAATTTGTACTTTCGTGAAAAACAATTCGAAAAAGGTTCCATCGAGCGAACACCATTAGATCTCCAGCCGTTCGAGGAGACATCGCGCACATTTCGAGTCGCGATCGAACACTCGAGTTATTTAAAACAAGTCGTCAATCGTTTCGTAACGTACTCTACGTTTGCTACGTAGTTACCCAAAATTAATTTGGCGGGTAACAGTCGCGACCGCGAGCTTCCTCTTGAACATCGCAAAAGAACGCGACGCGACAACGATCCTGAAGCGTTTTAATTCAGCGATACCCCAACATCTGCTCCTAGTTTCGAGGAACTGGAGCAAACCGGGCATCACATTACGAATAATTTTAGTAGTGCGTTGCATTCGCCTTTTTCTTTCGAGAAGAATACCTTTAACTTTCATCGCCGTGTCAATTAGAAACAAAGATTAATTTGGACTTAAACAACCCAATTCTTCCGAGTGTTTCAGAATTACTTGTAATTGCGATATGTTATCATTGACCTCGGTAACGACAAACGAATCTCCAATTCTTCTCAAAGATCTGTTGTTTTTGTGTCTCACTTTCAAAATTTTGCAAATTATCGTTAATAAATATTTGCAATTAATCAGAGTTTCTACGTATGATGGTAACAAGTGTATTACAAAGTTTTTGTCACAGCAGAAAGCGTTGCAAGTATAAGAACAGTGGAAACATAATCGAGAAACCGTTGAATAAACCGCATACACCTGGCAGAAATAAAAGGAATTTCACCGAGATATTACCTCTACTGTAGAAACGGTGGAAACAATACTCAGATCAGCGAGAGTCATGTTCTTTCCTGCGACATAATCTCGTCCCTCGAGGAATTTGTCGAGGAACGAAAGGGCTGCGTCGAGGCTGCTGACCTTCGCTGGGTTTTTCGGTTCTTTAGCGAAGAATATGGGATACTGAAAAAAGAATTTCACAAATTTTAAATATTAGCTGCTCAAAAACATCTACATTCGCGTAAATCTTTTAACAAGAAGATTCGTGAGTACAGTGGGTGATCAAATTATTAGAGTCACCTGGAAAAAATTGACGGTTCAGATGAAAACCTAGTTATAACGAATTCTCATTATTTTTCTTCCGAAGCGTCGATGTTTACAATTTGCGGACACTTTAGGCAATATTATCTGTCACATAGACGTTATTTTGTGTCAGTACTGTAAATCGTCACTTGAGAACCACGTGTTACACTTTGTTGGTTTATAAATCTCGAGCATTTTAATTTTCCTTGCAGCATTTTTACCACTTACAACGCATAATACTTAAGATGTATGGAGAAAAGAACGAAGGCTGTAATTGCAGCAAGAGTTACCAAATACCGGCTTGATCGTTACTTCACAAGCTAAGTTTAACTGTTTCGCGTATCTTCGGTGAACAATCGTTGATTGAAAATGATCTACTGTGAAAAGCTTGATACACAAGGACAAGATACATCTCTAATAATTTGATGACATCCACTGTAGTCGTAAAATGACTCGACGCAATGCTCGCTAATTACACAGTAACAGATGTGCTATGTAGCACACAGGTTTCCTTTATTAGCCAATTCAGAGTTTGCTGAATAATTGCATAACTTACGTAACAATCGGCGAAGGCTTTGTACAAGGTGCACGCATCGAAATACAATTTCGAATTGACCAGCGCGCGTTTCTTTGGATCCTTCGGGTACAAGGAGTCGTTCTTGCCGTATTGATCAGCCAGGTATGTCATAATCGCTCGGCTAGAAGGAAAAGAAGCTGTGTGAAGCGTAGAGATACGTTTCCGTTAGGTGTGGAAATTAATTTAAGTGCCTTTTCGACGATCTTTCTATCATTTCTTGGGTAATCAATGAATTTCCTCTGTGAAAAAATTCCCTTTCGTTCTACTTGAGTACACGAACAAAAATTCACATTTGCATAGTGTCCTTTAAAAATACTACGACTGGTAGATAAATGATAAATTTGTAAAATAAAGAATTCGGCCAGGTTAATTTTCCTTAAATATACGGAGACACTTTTTGAATTCCCAAATAAAGGAACTTTGTGAATGAAAAATTCAGTGACAATAAGAAGATGCCGAAAGAGTTCTCTTTCCTAGGAAAATTGTATAATAAAATTTCTTTCTTAATATTCTACATATAATAAAATCTAATTTTTCCATCGTCGCTAATTAACGTTGAAACTCGATTAAAAAAGATATCTTAATTCTTCTAAGTATCTTAAGAAACTATGCACAGTAGCACGAGTTTAAGTTGAATAATTAATAACACGTTTCGTCGTATCAAACGTAATATCATACATAATCACTTCTCACAATACAATCGTTTCGAATTTCAAAGCAATTAATAATACAGTTCGAACAAACTTTACCTTTCCCACAGATAGAAACCATTGTCGTCGATCGTTGGTATCGTGTGTTGTGGATTCATCTGCGCAAAACGTGACACCAATCGTTAATAATCGAACGCATAGAATACAATCAGACTTGGTGTCGATCGATCGTTAAACGAAGTGATACGTGCCTTTAAATATTCCGGCTTCAAGTGTTCGCCGTTCATCAAAACGACTTCCTTCAAATTCATTTCGACTCCAATGGCGGCTGCTGCCAGTGCAACGGCGCGGCAAGGCGCGCTTCCGGGAAGTTGATAAAAATCGATCGGCATTTTGATATCTGAAACGTCAAGCGGAGAGATGCTAGCTAAATTTTCTCACCCAAACAATTCAATTCTACTCAGTTCTCTTGAATTCATCGACGCTAGAACGGTCGCGGTTAAATGACCCACTGACAACTTTTTGAAAAATAGCGAATGTTCGATACGAATTTTAAAATACTAAATTTTCAATTATATTATCACTTTTGGCAAATTTCCGATACGAATCTAAAGTTTCAATTATATTTTGGTTACTTGGATAATTCACTTTTTGCAAAAATTGTCGATGGGTCATCTTTGACCCGACAAAGATTGGTCCAGCGTTAACGACGAATGTATCGTCTGAAATAGAGATTTTCTCCAACTTATACCTGCTGAGCGTTCCAATTCCCGATACCTTTCGAACGAGAAATCTCAAGACCGCGTAAACGCGCGGAGAATAGAGAAAGAAGCATTTTCACCGCGTGTCACTTGCCGCACGTCGACTCGCGAGGCAAGGTAATGGAAAATTACGGCCTTCTATCTCGATTGTACGCGTATACATAATCGCGACAGCAAGTGGATATTTGTGTTTCTACATGACAATAGCGTGACTCAGTATCGAGCACCGGACAATTAAGAGGGGAAACCGTGACAGTTTTTAGGTCGCTGGCATTATTAAAACACTCTGCTACGTATCGACCGTTTCTCCAGTGAACTGACCGTCGCTGATATGCTCTGACGAAACACTCTATCACCCGAAGTAACTTTATTACCAATGAAATTATACTGAAAAATTGAAACTGTTTAAAAAATCACTCCGTAACATTTTCGTACACTTCAAACCTTGCTTGAGTAAAGAAAATTTTCACGATTGCCTCAAACTTTAATATTCAAAATGTTTTGCATATATTGTTATTCTAGAAACGTGAAAATTTCTAGAAAATAGGGACGCGGAGGTATTTCACGATACTTTCACAAGAACATAGAAAATTGTTAAAGGAGACACAGTTAAGGGTTAATTATTTCATTATTTACATTTCAAGGATTAAGTTTCTCGCAATTATCTAAATATGAAAGAACAATTGTTCCTGAACAAATGAGCCGGTTTTGTGTTACCAGTTTCCGGATGATCACCACCGTACATCAGGTCAATAATCGTGTTACAAAATAGCATGTCAACGTTGCGACGTAGCGTCAATTACACACCGACGAGGAAATTTGAATTTCGTTGCAAGAATGATAGCACGGTCGAATTTCTGATCGAACGATCAGAAAACGATTTAATCCGGCACAATGTGTATCAGGATGAAAACCTGGTCGTTGAACGTATCGGGAACTGAAACGCACGGCCGGTGAAACCGCGTAGAAACTCTTCGTACCAGACGCACTCGAAACTTCAGCGCAGGAAAACAAGGATGATTTGTGACAGATAACTGTGAGGGGACGTAAAGCAAATCCAGCTACGTGTTCTCCAAGGGCGCGCCGCGAGATAATTGCGAACTGTCTAAGCGAGCTGCCTCTACAGTCTCTTTATAAATGCCAACGTATCTGCCACGCGGCCTGCTTTTCAAGCGGCGAAACAGCGCTGGTAGCGCGCAGGCTCGACCGGTTTCAACCTTAGGAGGAACAGAGTGCTACCGATTTTCTCGTGGCGGAGAACGCGTTGAACCTGGGTGCGACCTTCGGGTCTCTTTTGACCCATCGCGTTTTCGCTTTTTGAAGAATTTTTCCACTTGTCGATAAGAATGTAACGAAATTGTTAATGATACGCTTGTTTGTGTTTCCTGAATAAGATTGCTGTAATAAAAATTGTTGCACGTGAGATCTTCGGGACAGAAAAGACCCAAATTTTTGTCTTTGGGTCAAAAGAGACCCAAAGAATTTTTTTCTTCTGGTCAGAAAAGGAGTCAAAGAATTTCTCTCTTTGAGTCAAAAAGGAGCCAAAGAATTTTTCTCTCGAGTCAAAAGAGAGCCAAAGAATTTTTCTCTTTGAGTCAAAAAGGAGCCAAAGAATTTTTCTCTCGAGTCAAAAGAGAGCCAAAGAATTTTTCTCTTTGAGTCAAAAAGGAGCCAAAGAATTTCTCTTTTTGAGTCAGAAAGGAGCCAAAGAATTTTTCTCTTCGAGTCAAAAAGGAGCCAAAGAATTTCTCTTTCTGGGTCAAAAGAGACCCAAAGAATTTTTCTCTCTGGGTCAAAAGAGACCCAAAGAATTCTGTCTCTGAGTCTTTCTTCACTCAAAATGCAAACCACCCTTCGATTTAACGTTGAAAATTTTGTACAGCCTTAAACAAGGTCTTTGGATCATTTTTGCCCCAAGTTTTAAAGAAATTCGAAAAGGGGCCTCCTTTTTCCCCCCAAGTCTTAAAAAATGCGAAATACTCACGTGAAAGCAACCACAAACAATTATGCAAGTAAGCACCGGTAATTTCCAAGAGTAGATTTATTCAATATTGCAGTTGCACCGTGAATTTGCAACATTTGCCTATACATATTTCTTTCATTCTATTTCAAGCGGATAAAGGAGTAAAAATGTACTGTCATCTCGCCAACGAAGTGACGCATCAATGATCTCATTCGCTTGTTACGCGCGTACCAAATGACTCTGCAACAATGTATCTCGACAGATTATCACAGTATAACCTCGTCAAACAGAGATACTTTTTCCATTAAAAAACACAAAACAAAAATTGTGTCTATTAATAATCAAGCATACGATAACTAATCACTCACCTAAATCTTTTTCTTGCTCTCGCGAAAAATTTCATTCCCGTGCAATTGTTTATTATTGTTTCACGATTTCATCTCGAAACATTGACGTACTTGCACGTTTAGGGTCTCGTTATTTCTACCCAGAGGAATATCGAAATTCCATTCTTGGATACAATCACGTTTTTAAGACAAATCAAATCGGTTAATCGAGATGAAAGTGGCGAGGTCTTCCATTCAGCCTTGAGCAGAAACTCCAAGGTCCCAGGAATAAGGATCATTATTCTCGGCATTGTTGTGCCTCGTAAATAACGCGAAACTGGAGCGTCGAACGCTGAACAGATTCAAGGGGCTTTTATGGACTTGGTTGAACGTGAATTAACGAGAATCTTCATACTACAAATGTCCGGTTGTAGTGGAAGTATCGTTATATTTTTCGGATACTCGAAGATTCGATAATTCTGAATTGCATCTTGGTGAAAAAATGGAGAATACGAGATAAAGAAACATCAAAAAATATTTAAACAATTTCATTTTGAAATTTAATTAATGCAGGTCTAAAATATTTAAATTTAATTTTTTGGAAGTGACGTGGTGCAAATGATTACTCGCCAAGTGGGTAACGAAAATGTATTTATTTAAACGTAATGCTTAAACTAATTTCAAATGTAAACTATGTGATGCGCGTGCAGAGAAGGTCTACGACAAAAGGCCTCGTGCCTTTTTCGGGGCACCCTTAAGTAGCCCCTTTTCCCTGGAAAAGTCCCAGGAAGTGGGGGTGCAATACTCTTGTCCTCGAGGACGAAGAAACTCGGAGATGTTTGGAAAAACATCTCTCGATTCTTCGCCTCGAGGGCCAAGAGTCGCCAGGCCTAAGTGCGTGGCCCACCCGTGGCAGTCGCCACAATTTTAATAAATTAAGATTAAATTTCGAATAGTACGAATAAATGAAATATTATTTAAAAAAACAAGAAATCTCTAAAATTCCTCCTTAATCTTTCTCCAGCCTATCTTTTCAGCTGCTGAATTCAATTTTAATAAAAAAGGAAAGATTAAATTTGGAATAATACGAGTAAACGAAAAATTATTTAAAAAAAAGACATGTAAAAATTCTTCCTCGATCCTTTTCCGAGCTTTTATTTTTAGCTACAGTTAAAACGTGACAGGACATTTCCCATTCAAGTGACTCACCTGTCACCAGGTGAAAATGTACCTCGGCCAATTTCACAAATTAACAGATACTTCATAATGAAATTCCAACGAGAAAAGGCGATGTTGATCTACATACGTAGGCTGATGTTAACGAGTGCTGTTTCGTAAGTTAATTAACATAAAGTTGCTACGCAGATTGCTCAGCAATACCTGCAAGCGTGACTGAATGAACGGTGACTAAGCTAAAATGGGGAAAGGTAACTTGAATGCAAGAAAACTAGTAAGTCATTCATTTTACACGCACGCTGCCGGCTAAAAGTTTCAGACTGCGAGCTAAGCAAAAATTTTTCAGAAGAAACATAGGAATTTGAGAAACTTTGGAGAATTTTTTACTACCTGAACTTACTAAAAGGATTCTGCCAATTTAATTGCAAATTCATAATTTCGTAGCAGATTCAATATCGTGTCTCAAGCAATAAATAATTGTCACAAACTTTTGTTAAATTACTTAATGTGTCGCGTAGCATTTTATAATAAATTATGATACGAGAATTATTGGTATTTCCGACTTCCAATGCTTTCTGTTAATGTTTATTCTAACTATACACGTATTAATAACACCTAATAAGGGACCATTTAAAAATAAGAATTACCTACCTTCGTAAAATTAACAAAAAGAAATTCAACACGTTTATTTTATCAGAAACCATGTAAACGACAGAATTTTACAATTTTTTACGACGAATTCACCTGCATAACTGTATTTGTTTTAATAATATATTAAAAATGATGATTTCTGCTTTAATTCTTTATGCAAATGCAAATAAGTGAGAATTTTTTAATTTTTATAATTTAAAAGAAAGAATTGTGCTTGAGATTTATTTATAAGCTTGCTCCACGCGAGATCATTTATCTTCAAACAAACGACAAAAGAACAGCCGAGTGAAAATTATTCCAAGCGTTTAATAAATTAAATCTAACATTTCTCACATTTTAAAAAGAAATACTACTTTCAACGAAAACTGATGGTCATTTAAACGAATATTATTTCCATAAAACTTCTAATCTTTATCTGACTTGCACGTTGACCTTTTTAATCTATGTAAATATGTTAATACAAGCAATTGTCTTTAGAAAAAGGACATGTTGTGACTTGAACAACAATTTAAGTAAAATTGTACAAAAAATTACAACAAGCCATATTTCCTTCATCTGTTGATTGTAAAACACGGTCGACGATGAATAACCACGTTTTCCCTGGTTCTCCAATCTTTCAGGATCTATGTTAGGAAAGTCTGGTAAACAGTTTTATCAATAAGCTGGCCTCGAACTTATCGCTATTGATGCGTGCCGCCATTTTTTAGATAAAAATACATTAAAGCCATTTAGATTGTGTCTGCTTACACTTTTTGTATGAATATTAAAAGATACAGATATATGTGTTTAGTCGTAAAATAGAATAAACCTAAGAGAATCCTGTAGCCAAGAGGAAGCTCGCGGTCGCGACTGTTGCCCGCCAAATTAATCTTGGGTAACTAGTTCAAAATATACTTTGCTCGAACGTTAGCAAAACGTAGAGTGCAGAACCTTTTTCGAATCTGTCGCTCGATCGCCGAATTTTTCTAGAGTCCGCCGTGACTCCCCCGCCAAGTGCAAGAAGGCACGCTGATTGGTTTCTCACGTACGCACCGTCACGGACGATTGACGACTTTGTTTCAAAGACTCGAATTGTACCTAAACGGCTGGAGAGAGTATCTTGTTCACACGAGAGAATCTTTCTCCTCGAACGGTTGGAGATCTAATGGTGTTCGCTCGATGGAACCTTTTTCGAATCTGTCGCTCGATCCCCGAATTTTTCTCGAGTCCGCCGTGACTCCGCCGCCTAGTGCAAGAAGGCACGCTGATTGGTTTCTCACGTACGCACAAATTACCAATCAACGTGCCCCTCGAGTGTCACCCACCCTTCCGTTGCGCCCTTAGCGCGCTTTTCCTTGGAAGGAGCGGGTGCGTGGCATCTTCGCTGTCCTTCGGTGACGCGCCGGAAATTCCCGCCAGGTCAACCCTCGGCCGAATGTGCCGTTATACGCGCGTGTGGATTGACCCTGTTCTGTAAGAAATTACTTATTTTTTCGCGGAGCTACGAAGCGTCTTTGTTCTCAAAAATAACCTTCTCGTGCGAGCGTGCCATAAACCCGGTCAACGAAGACCCCACGCGTTCCGTACCTGCGCGACGGAACAGTGGTCACGTCGCAGGCAAGTAAAGGTGTCCTTTTTCGCGTTGCGTGCGACACTCGGCCACTAGGACTCGAGAGGCCGCAAATCCTGGAGTCTCCAAGAGTTCAAGGGACAAGTGCGCCTCGATATTTCGTGGCTGGGCCCACTACACGCGAGAAACTCTCGACTTCGCGGAGACCCCACAGGATTCCCAAACATTCCGTCGTCGAACACCTCTTCGGTCGTTGTGCAACCCTTCCCTAA